CACTGGATATTTGGTAGGATCAGCAGGCATTTTCTTTATTTGCAGCCTTTTTTATGAGACAAATGTGGGAAACTGTACATTTAGTGAGACATTTGGATTATACTGTTGTCTACAGGATGCTTTAGACACTGGCAAGCAGGAAAAAAAACAGTGACCAGTCTGGTATAACCACTCCCTGCATTGTTCAGTTTTTTACCAGTGTCCTAGCATCATGGATTCCTTTTTGCTACTGAAAAAAAGTTTAACAATTTTTTCTAACCATTTTTTCTTTAGCTCAAGATTATTATTTATTTAATTAGGACTTCATTGCATGCTGTTTGAGCTAGTGTCTTTGTGGAGCTATCCAAATTGGCATCTCCTCAGCAATAGCTTTAGAGGCCTTGCAAGGGCTCTCTGGAATGACTATGAGTAGATATTGTAGGCTGAACATCAGGAGCCTTATATTTTATTAGAACCATTCTGTGCCATTATGGTGACATCCCTCTTTTTCTGCTGGATTCCATGAAAAGAGATAAGATTGGGCACTAGGTGGATTGTAGCAAATGCACACACTCCATAATCTATTCCCACCATTCAGAGTTAGGTCCTAACTGCAATGGAAACGTTCCACCTTGGTTAGTCTTCGTTGCTGCCAACAAAAAACCTAGTCACCCTTAGCTGTTGGTTCTTAGCAAAAACATTAGGCGTGGCCAAAACAACTGTTTGGAACATTCTTAAAAAGAAGGAACGCACCGGTGAGCTCAGCAACACCAAAAGACCCCGAAGACCACGGAAAACAACTGTGGTGGATGACCGAAGAATTCTTTCCCTGGTGAAGAAAACACCTTTCACAACAGTTGGCCAGATCAAGAACACTCTCCAGGAGATAGGTGTATGCGTGTCAAAGTCAACAATCAAGAGAAGACTTCACCAGAGTGAATACAGAGGGTTCACAACAAGATGTAAACCATTGGTGAGCCTCAAAAACAGGAAGGCCAGATTAGAGTTTGCCAAACGACATCTAAAAAAGCCTTCACAGTTCTGGAACAACATCCTATGGACAGATGAGACCAAGATCAACTTGTACCAGAGTGATGGGAAGAGAAGAGTATGGAGAAGAAAAGGAACTGCTCATGATCCTAAGCATACCACCCTATCAGTGAAGCATAGTGGTGGTAGTGTCATGGCGTGGGCATGTATGGCTGCCAATGGAACTGGTTCTCTTGTATTTATTGATGATGTGACTGCTGACAAAAGCAGCAGGATGAATTCTGAAGTGTTTCGGGCAATTTTATCTGCTCATATTCAGCCAAATGCTTCACAACTCATTGGACGCCGCTTCACAGTGCAGATGGACAATGACCCAAAGCATACTGCAAAAGCAACTAAAGAGTTTCTTAAGGGAAAGAAGTGGAATGTTATGCAATGGCCAAGTCAATCACCTGACCTGAATCCGATTGAGCATGCATTTCACTTGCTGAAGACAAAACTGAAGGGAAAATGCCCCAAGAACAAGCAGGAACTGAAGACAGTTGCAGTAGAGGCCTGGCAGAGCATCACCAGGGATGAAACCCAGCGTCTGGTGATGTCTATTCGTTCCAGACTTCAGGCTGTAATTGACTGCAAAGGATTTGCAACCAAGTATTAAAAAGTGAAAGTTTGATTTATGATTATTATTCTGTCCCATTACTTTTGGTCCCTTAACAAGTGGGAGGCACATATGCAAACTGTTGTAATTATTACACCGTTCACCTGATTTGGATGTAAATACCATCAAATTAAAGCTGACAGTCTGCAGTTTAAGCACATCTTGTTCGTTTCATTTGAAATCCATTGTGGTGGTGTATAGAGCCAAAAATGTTAGAATTGTGTCGATGTCCCAATATTTATGGACCTGACTGTATATCAGTCATGAGAATGGATGGCATAGAGTTCTGCTGAGTTTTTTTGCCTGGATGGAGAGGGACTTCATGTGCACAAATGGTACGTTGTGGGGAAAAAAATTTGGGAAGAGTTGAAGCACTTTTTTTTTTTGCACAAGTTTGTGGATTTTATTGAGGACTTTTATAATGTGATGTTTATACACTAATATGAATTTTTAATATTCAGATCACAGCACCACTGTGAGGTAGACACTTTGTATTTTCACATGCTGATATATTTAGGGAGGTAGAACTGGCTGCATGTTTTTTGTGGAAGCACAACATGACAGCAGAGGTAAGTGTGACAGGATACTTTAAGGACTTGAAGGAAACAGGACTCTGAGTGCCTCCACGTACAGTGAAGAAGAGAACCCTAGGAAGGTTCAAGGTGCAGAGCTAAGGAGCCACCTGGTCCTCTCTAGAACACCCAACAAGGGATGATGAGCTTTGCTGCAGAACAGCCACAAGGTTGAAAACATCTGACCCACCCAAATGGACAGCTACTGAACTACAAACATGAGTATACAGAAGAACAGGGCTTTTTTTTAGCAAGAATGTGGGGGAATGCAGTTCCAAGACCTCCAGCACTGACTATATGTAATGGCAAAGAGTGCTGGGGTGTGCTGCAGGGTCTATTGATGCTGGCTGCTGGGGGATGTATTGTTGCTGGAGGTCTATTGTTGCTGGGTAGATCTATTGTTGCTGGAGGGGGAATCTGATGTTGCCAGGGCTGGGTCTTATGTTGCTGGGGGGTGGTCAGTTGTTGCTGGAAGGGATCTACTATTGAGGGAGGGGGTCTATTGATGCTGGATTCAAAGAGATCTGTTGCTGCTGCCAGGGGTCTATTGTTCCTGGCGGGGAATTTGTTGCAGGTAGTCCATTGTTGCTGGAGGGTCTATTGTTGTTGGCTACAGGGATCTATTTTACTGCTTTTCTTGTTATCAGTAACACGTTCCATACAAATTGCTTAGCACCACAAAATGATACTTGGTTCTCTATTATCTAAAACGGTGGTACTGGGAGGTGGGTAGGGGGTGATATCAAGGAATTGTGCTTGGAAATGGGTAAGGGCAGAGACAAGGGGGACTTGGAAAAGGAGAGTTCCTGCACCTATTCTCTGAAGAAAAAAGCCCTGCAGAAGAGAGTCTTTGGGAGCACTTGGGTGCAATAACCACAGAACACAGAAGTGATAGTCTCTAGGAGCAGTGGGGTGCTGGTATCACAGAAATAGGAGTGAGAGCCTCTTGCAACATTGGGGTACTGGAATCACAGGAGCACATGTGAGGGTCACTGGGAGAACTGAGGTGCTGGGATCATAGGAACACATACTAGATAGTCTCTTGCAGCACCGGGGTTCTGGGGTCACAGTGACAATTGTGAGTTATTTGGGGCACTGGAGCTCCCCAGTACTTTCACCTGTCTTTCTGTGGGACTTGATTTAAAAAACTACCAGGGATGTTCTCCTTTTGACTCTTACTCACAGGGTTGTATTGCCCACCTAGTTGGTCTGCTTTTGGACGTCCTAAATGTCTCTGAATTGGATTTTTGTACTCACTGCAGATTCCTTTTCTTGGCATTCATTGAAACACCCAGTTCCCTCTCCTCTATATTTATGGCCTTGCTCTCTGTGTCCAAAACCTCCGGAAGGTGACAGTATACTCAAATGGATATTACAGTGAGTACAAAATTCTTATATTTTTGACCATACATCCATTTATGGATGGTGACAAAAGATGTGGTGCCTATAAGAAAAAACATTGTTATTAATATGTGCTACTGCAGTATGAGCTCTAAATAGAGCCCCAGGCTATATAACGCCATGTACTACTAGTGATGCCTAACAATATGGGGCAATCCAGACCTCTTTTATTTGACCAGAATTTGCTTAACCAAACAATCTAATAATAAACAATTCAGATAATAATTGTCTGCAAGGTGCATCATTAATTAATTAACTAATTAGCTCTAGAAAGTTTGCAAATCCTGATATAGACAATAGGTCTTCTGAAATATTCAGTTCAAGACCAATAGGTCTTGTGAAATTTCCAGTTCAGGCCTAGAGGACATTACTACTGTTGAACATCCATCATAAAATGTCTGTTAGTACCTGAAGAGCCAACACAATCCCAAAAGTTCATGTGTATTTTGTTCAGAAAGTTTACTAACAATTTTCAGTAGTGAAGTTTAACTCCAATCAAATTTTTTTTTACTTTGGACAGATTGTGGTAGGACTAGACACCATGTTAAGTTTGACTGTAGACTAACCCCACTGGTGAGATTTCCCCTCCATTTCTGCACTAGCAAAAACAGAAGGGAAATCTAAGTATTCTAAGGATGTCTGCTGTTTCCTAAGGAGAAAAAAATAGTTGCTTTTGTGCCACCAGACAATTTCAGCAGGCAGTTAGTTCACCCAGTTGTTTGGTACAGGTTTTTTTTTTTATATTTCTCCCCACAGGTTGTTTCTTGATCAGTTCTGACTGCAATCATTAAGCTTCCCTGCCCCTTCTCCCCCAGTTTTTATCGATGGCCCTTTTTAAATTCACAGTAATGTGGGTAAATATAGTGATGTTTGGGCACTTATACTTTTTTCAAAGCTGTTGGTGCTTGAGGCTTGTGGCTGAGCCCCCTATTCTGCTTTTAAATCTGTTTTGTATGGTAAAGCTAATATGCATTTTACCTATTAAAATCTGGTGTTAATTTAACCCCAATAAAGGGGGCAATCTGGTGTTAATTTAACCCCAACCATCAAAAGGCAATATACAGGGGTTGAACAAAATTATGGAAACATTATGTTTCCAGCATCATTACCTAATTTGCTAACGAGCAACATCGTTACCTAATTTGGTGTTGGACCACCTTTGACATCTTAGATGGCCTGAATTCTTCTGGGAATTGACAAATATAAGTCTCGGATGGCGCATAATGAAATCTGATACCATGCTTAATGCAATAATTTTTCCAAGTCTCGCAGAGATGCCAGAAGCAAAAAGTGAGCCAGAACCTTGTTCTCCAAAATTGGCTTTATTAAATTGAGGTCCAGGGAAGGTGCGAGACTTTGTCTGCATGATTGTCAAACCATGATATGACAACACCAGCTCTGTGAATTGGAGCATTATAATCTTGGTAAATGGCACTGTTTATGAGAGACAATGTCTGCACCATGGGGTGCACATGGTCAGCCAAAATTTGTACATAGTTGCTAGCAGTGACTCTACCTTTCAAGGTGATGATGGGGCCTGCAGAACACAAGGATATGGCTGCCCAAGCCATGATTGTGCCGCCACCATGCATTACCATTGGCACAAGACAGTCCTGGTAGTAAGCTTGGAATGGTGTTTGGCACATGTAAACTCATCCTGTGGTTGGGAACAGTGTGAAGCTCGATTCATCGGACCATATTACAGTCTTCCATTGATTGACAGTCCATGATTTATGGGTGTTGCACCATTCTTTCCTCTTCTGAGCATTAATATCAGTCACTAGTGGTGTGAAAATTGCAGCTCGCCCATGAATATTTTGCTTATGGAGTTTCCTCCATGCAGCTTTTGTGGACACAGGCTTTGGAAGACTGAGGTTGAGTTCTGTGGTCACTTTTGCAGCAGTTATTTTCTTATTCAGGGTGACAATGCTGCACAATGTCATTTTGTCTCGTTTGGTCAGTTGACCATGTCGACTGCTCCTATGCTTATCAGAAGACATTTTACAGGAAACTGTATATGCCATCATAACTTGTGATACCTCACATCACGGCAAATAAATTGACAACTTCAGTCACAGAGGCGCCTGCTAAGCGGGCACTAACAATTTGCCCTATTTGAAGCTCAGTAAGCTCTGACATGACTCCATATTGCCAGCAGCGCATGCAGTGAATGATGAAAGTGAGGCTTCCCACCTGTTAGCTAGGTATCTCATCACACAGCTGAAGCAAAAGAATGTTACATCACTTCCGCTTTCAATGAGAAGAATGTCACTTTCACACCTACAAATCATGTAGTGTTTCCATATTTTTGTCCAACCCCTGTATGTTATCCATTTTTATTATTAGTAGCTTTGTACATACAGTATACTTAATCCTCCTAAATTTAATTATCGGGTGTGGGTTGATTCAATATAGTGTTTGAGAACAGATGTTTGTACTTTCTAGGTAAAGACTACTGTAAGGTTCATTATCAAATTCCGTTCTATAGAATGAATTTTATGTGATAAAAACAAAAAATAATTTCTGGAACATGACATGCACCTCTGAGCTAGACGATAGTAGTAAAACTGTCACAGAATTTCATTTGACATTATATAACGGCTTCTCTACCACCCATACAGTGTGTAATCTGCATTTAGAACAATACATATTCCAGAGTCAGCCATGAAGTGAAGGGCGTTATATTCCCTAGGCTGTAATCCCTTGACTTCACAGGGAACACAAAGCAGTGAGATGACTTCTATTCATCAGACTGTGCTCTTCAGAGAGACTAATAGTTAAAGGAGGGAGAGACTGACCACTGTCGCTGCATCATTCATCACCAGTAAAGTGAAGAGAAATAGGCAAAAAGGAGGTGGGAAGTGTAATTAGGATAGATAGATTCTATCTATCCATCTATCTACAGCACCAACATATTCCATTCACAGCAGCTTCTATCCCCAGAGAAGCCTTTTAGACACATACATTAGGATCAGTTCAGGTGGAAACCGATTAACCAAGCAGTTTGCCATTATATAGTGGAAGTAAATGGGAATAGAATTAAAGGAGAACTGATAGTAATATAAGCCATTCCATCTGTAGAGCTAAAAAGCAAATCCACAGTTCAATGTGACGCTAGATCTCAGCCATATATAGCTCAGACCCACTGTGCATACTAGATTATTTTGTTTCAGTGTAAGGTTTCCTTTCTCTTCACCCTCTCTCCCCCCGCAGCCTGTGCCTTGCTGTGATTCACGGTTTGCTGGTGCCATTATACTGCCGTATAAATTTTTACTTTATTTGCGTCCAGCTTCATATTTCCAGACTGGGACCTTGCGTCAGCTATACAATCCATTTATAGACAAATCAATTAAATATTTCTTTCTAATCTGTCACCTCTTATACAAAGATGCAAAGAATTACAGGGTGCCACTGGCATGCATAGCTCTAGACCAGATAAGAAAAAAAAAAAAGGATCCCTATAGCTCATAAGCTGGATCTCTATCCGGAGGAAAAGAGCTGCAATCTGCCAAATGTCATTACTCTAAAGGGGCTCTGTGTTTTACAGCCTCTGCTGCCATCTCCAAAGACTGCAAAGCCCTCAAGTTAGAAGTGAATAAATTACACAGAGCATTGTGACTGTTTTATCTAAAGTGTTAAACATGCAACACTGCAGCTTTTTCTGGACAAACATTGATGGCCTAAGAATGAGATTTCCTTTCCAGGGTGTTGAAATGATGCTCTGCATCATGTGTAGAATCCAGTCTGCAGAGCCTCAACTCCACATCGATTATGTTTACATAGAATTCTATACGACTTTCTTCCTGATGTCAAGCTGTTATCTAGGCTATGCTTGGCAGCAGTCTCCGCCACCCAAGATGCTAAAGACAGATCAAGTTAATGAGCCAAAGAGAGTCAGAAACTTCAACATGGAGGAATCATTTACTTTTTTCCACCCTGCAATGTAAGGGTTAAACATTGTCCAAGGCCTTTCCTTTTGCAGTAAACAATTAAAATCTTTAGAGCAATGAAATGGTTAACCCACCCAGGTGTCTAAACACCTCTTCAACCTCTAGCCATAAATCTGGCTTGTTCCCATCACCTGAGCCTTCCTGTTATTGATTCCCTTTAATGAAAGTTAATTATAACACCGATTTAATTAATGGAATCCCTCTGCCGCTTTACAGCTTCCCGCATTAACACTTGATGGGGGGGGGGCTTGGAAACTAGGAGATAAATCAGAGAGACATTGTGGTCATATGAACTGGTACTAGTGCGTACAGAAATGGGCAAGGGTATACAAGAGCCCATTCACAACCCATAAGACCATTAGAAAGATGGGTACTCCTACCTACAGAATGTACCTATATCATGCTGCCACCTACATGCTCTGCTTTATGAAAAACTGAAACTGTTACACATATCAGTCTATAAGACATCATACTTCAGTTTAAGAATGAGGTATGACTGGTTGAGAGCCAGTGAGGTTTGCTTCTCCTTTCTCGGCTCAGGTGTTAATTTTATTGGTCAATTTTTTTTTTTTTTGCTTAATTGAGTATTTGAATAAAGTGCACAAGAAAAAAGAGAGCTGGAATTAGATTAGCTGCTCCTGCCAGCACCTCCACTCATCTCTACTCTTATAGCCAGCACCTCAACTCATTATAGCCAGCACCTCCACCTCCACTCATCTCTTTCCTTATAGCCAGCACTTTCACTCATCTCTATTCTTATAGCCAGCACCTCAACTCATTGTAGCCAGCGCCTCCACCTCCACTCATCTCTCTCCTTATAGCCAGCACTTTCACTCATCTCTATTCTTATAGCCAGCACTTCCACTCATCTCTACTTTTATAGCCAGCATCTCCACTCATCTCTATTCTTATAGCCAGCACTTCCACTGATCTCTACTTTTATAGCCAGCACCTTCACTCATCTCTGCTCTTATAGCCAGCACTTCCACTCATCTCTACCTTTATAGCAAGAACCTCTACTCATCTCTGCTCTTATAGCCAGCACTTCCACTCATCTCTACCTTTATAGCAAGAACCTCCACTCATCTCTGCTCTTATATCCATCACCTCCATTCATCTCTACTCTTATAGCCAGCATTTCCTCTCATCTCTACTCTTATAGCTAGCACCTCCACTCATCTCTACTTTGATAGCCAGCACCTTCACCCATCTCTACTGTTATAGCCAGCACTTCCACTCATCTATATTCTAATAGCCAGCACTTCCACTCATCTCTGTTCTTATAGCTAGCACTTCCACTCATCTCTACCTTTATAGCAAGCACCTCCACTCATTTCTGTTCTTATAGCCAGCACCTCCACTCATCTCTACTCTTATAGCCAGCACCTCCTCACATCTCTACTCTTATAGCCGGCACCTCCACCTATCTCTACTGTTATAGCCAGCAACTCCACTGATCTCTATTTTTATAGCCAGCACCTTCACTCATCTCTACTGTTATAGCCAGCACCTCCAGTCATCTCTACTCTTACAGCCAGCACCTCCACTCATCTCTACTCTTATAGCCAGCACTTCCACTCATCTCTACCTTTATAGCAAGAACCTCCACTCATCTCTGCTCTTATAGCAAGCACCTCCACTCATCTCTACTTTTATAGCCAGCACCTCCACTCACATCTACTCTTATAGCCAGCACCTCCACTCATCCTTACCTTTATAGCCAGCACCTCCACTCATCTCTACTCTTACAGTGGGGCAAAAAAGTATTTAGTCAGCCACCAATTGTGCAAGTTCTCCCACTTAAAAAGATGAGAGAGGCCTGTAATTGGCATCATAGGTAGACCACAACTATGAGAGACAAAATGAGAAAAAAAATCCAGACAATCACATTGGCTGATTTGGAAATAATTTATTTGCAAATTATGGTGGAAAATAGGTATTTGGTCAATATCAAAAGTTCATCTCAATACTTTGTTATATATCCTTTGTTGGCAATGACAGAGGTCAAACGTTTCCTGTAAGTCTTCACAAGGTTGGCACACACTGTTGCTGGTATGTTGGCCCATTCCTCCATGCAGATCTCCTCTAGAGCAGTGATGTTTTGGGGCTGTCGCAGGGCAACACGGACTTTCAACTCCCTCCAAAGGTTTTCTATGGGGTTGAGATCTGGAGACTGGCTAGGCCACTCCAGGACCTTGAAATGCTTCTTGCGAAGCCATTCCTTCATTGCCCGGGTGGTATGTTTGGGATCATTGTCATGTTGGAAGACCCAGCCACGTTTCATCTTCAATGCCCTTGCTGATGGAAGGAGGTTTGTACTCAAAATCTCACGATACATGGCCCCATTCATTCTGTCCTGTACATGGATCAGTCGTCCTGGTCCCTTTGCGGAGAAACAGCCCCAAAGCATGATGTTGCCACCCCCATGCTTCACAGTAGGTATGGTGTTCTTTGGATACAACTCAGCATCCTCTCTCCTCCAAACACGACGAGTTCTGTTTCTACCAAACAGTTCTATTTTGGTTTCATTTGACCATATGACATTCTCCCAATCCTCTTCTGGATCATCCAAATGCTCTCTAGCAAACTTCAGACGGGCCCGGACATGTACTGGCTTAAGCAGGGGGACACGTCTGGCACTGCAGGATCTGAGTCCCTGGTGGCGTAGTGTGTTACTGATGGTAACCTTTGTTACGTTGGTCCCATCTCTCTGCAGGTCATTCACTAGGTCCCCCCGTGTGGTCCTGGGAATTTTGCTCACCGTTCTTGTGATCATTTTGACCCCACGGTGTGAGATCTTGTGTGGAGCCCCAGATCG